AAGTATCGACAGTGTAGGCCGAGCCTAATGTAGTTTATTCCTCTGTGACATATAGTAGAGCACCACTGCTGTCACAAAACTATTAAAATCAAATTGCTTCATTGTGATGAACATACACATACACAACAGATCTGTATTAATCCACAGATGAAAATACATTACATTCAATTCTCATGAATGCAATATTTCAGAACACCTTATGGGAATTTTTTTTTTCTCAGATTTGGCTCAAACATCCACTTAAGACTCAAGGATGAACTAATTAGATTGTGGTGCGGCCTTGAGCTGTGAGAATTTCTGCTCCTCGCTCATGGAGCTGTTCGCCCGCTCCGGTCCCTGCTCAAAGCCGCACCAGGCCTCTCGGCTCATTATCACTCAGCGCTCAACTCAGAATGCACCCCGCTCCACTCAGATCGCACCCACTCACTCCAAAAAGGGGGAAATAATCTGCGTGCATTTCACTTTTAGCTTAGACCGTAGCCTTGCATCCCAAAGAACTAAAAAATGACAACTTTTTTCCAAATAGGAATGATTTAATTCAAATTATAGTTACTAACAAGGAATATAACACAAAGTAATAGGTAAAATTCAACAAATCAATGAACCTAATTTAATAAAAATATTCAGTACACCTGTATGAACTTTGTTTTACAACCATCAAGTACTTTAGGAACTTCATCACTGAGCTCATAGCGGCCAATTTTTGATTGAAAAGCTTCATTGGGCTTGGGCATGTTTCGGGCTTGTGGTGTGAGTGGTACCGGAGTGGGACATGGAGTGAAATCCAGCCACTCTCTCACGCGCCGCTCCGCTCACATGCTCTGTGGTGGTGGTCAGAGGTCACTTCGTTGTCACGCCTGTCCCTTTCCCATGAACTTGAAAAGTTGGCAGAAGTGTTAATTCTAGTGTTAAATAAAAGGATGCATTTGTGGGACATTTTAAAATGTTTATATATTTTGTAGGCATCAACACACTTAAGCTTAACATAAGACAGCCCTGTTATATACACCTAAATGTTATGCTGTGGTTTTGAAACCTCACAGATAAAGCATTAATCCTTTTATATGACAATCCTTTTATATGACATTCCTGGTATGGGCATAAAAAGGCAATATTTTGTCATTTCAGATATTTCTGTGTGTGGGTGTAGTTCAGACAGTGTCATTTTTAGTGTTTAGTAAACAATGTAAATGGTTATGAGTAGAAAACCTTTTTGCTCCCAGTGAGAAAATCCACTCTTTTATCACACATGGAGATATTAGGAACAACGGAGCTCCAAGCACTTTGTGTTAGCACTGACAGCTCACTGTTCATAATAAATTAAATGAACAGTAATATAACTTGGCTAATTTGGAACACGTTGTAATCTCAAGGGACTTGATGAGTTAAATTAAAATGTAACTACATGCATTTAATGTTGCGTTTAAAACGTTATAGTCACAGCTCAACTCACAGTTATTCACAACACCAATTTGGATTGTCAGAAACATGAAAATATCTCAGTCATGAATGACTCACTTGTTGTGATTAAGACCTTAGTTAATATTCTAATCACTGCCCTGGCATGATTTTAAAAGCTGCTTTGAATGAATGAATGTAGAGCGACTTGGGTTAACCTAATAATAGCACAGCTCAAAGGCAAACTAAAATTCACTGCTTTCAGTATTACCTCAGTTTGGTTTTTCCCGTCTCCCATAATGCACTGAGTTTGTGTCTTTTGGACAGTTTCTTCCAAATGTAAGCATTTTTGCCCTGTATGAGAAATGGTAATAGACAGTAAGGTTAACACTGGGGACAAGTTTGTTTTGCCTTCAAATGTTTATTGTAGCTCTTTCTGTGCCTGTCATCATCTCTTTTCAAATTTTCTCCTTTCACTTTCTCCCACACTTGCTCTCACATGACCCACCAAGTCTTCTTCCTCCTTCATCATCCCTCTCTTTTTCCCACCTCCTTTCTTTCTCTCTGGCTCCACAAACACACACACCGTTTCATCTTTTCACCTCACTCGCTCTGTTTTTTTTTTTTCTCAGTCCCACCAAGGCACATCTTCATATAATTACTCTCCATTAAAAATGGATTAGATTTCACCTTCACAGTCTGTCTGCAGTGGGCGAACAGGAGGGTGGGAAGGAGGGAGAAGACAGAGGAGGGGGTGGGGGCATTGAGAAATCAGGGGATAAGGATGAAGGATGTAAGAGCTAGATTAGGAAGTGGTGGAGGAAGAATGTGAACATGGCAGAACAAGGGATGAGAAGGATGAACAGCCTGAAGCTGCAGCTGCTGCAGACTAGCCAATAGATGTGAGTACAGAGGTGGCTTGTGGCTGCCTTGCAGATTTAGACTAACATTCACTCTCCCAGCAAAGTCAGAAGAAAAGACTTCACCCTCTTAAACTTTTCACACTTATTTTTTATCACAGATAGTCAGAAAATTGTGTGAACTTTGCTGTCACACGTTTGTCCAGTCACTGAAATGGCTCCAGTTCAAGAACAAATTGGTCGCTTTGTACAGCTCAAGGACAGACTCATAGAGAACAACAATGGATGTAAAACGAGCAGAATGAAAAGGAAAACAAAATCACTGTGTTCAATGGCGGACAGGGCGGTTATAAAAAGTTTAAAGGAATATGCCTGAATGGAAAAAATATTGATCTCAAGATTCAAACCTTGAAGAAACATCTGGATCATGATCTTGTATTAATATTGTGGATAAGAATAATCACCTTTATTTGGCCAAGTGTGTCACACACACACACACACAAGGAATTTGTTTCCGGTACAGAACATATACACGTATCACCCTCATCATCTAATATACAGAAAGCATTGTAGGTCATAATTGATGGAGTAAAATGTCACTGTTGGTGTCTCGAGACACATCAAGCAAAGGGCAGTCCTGGTCTTTTGTTGTGAAGCTCTGTGCCAGAGGGAGCAGATGGTGCTGGTGTGTCCACAGGAGGTAAGAGGGTCTGGGGCTGGAAGAGCTCCAGTCAGCCGCCCAGTACCCCTCCTGTGTTTCCCAGCTGGGGGTTAAGAAGGGTTAAATTAAATCCAGTCCTGCTGTGTTTTTGTTTGTGTGTGTGTGTGTGTGTGTGAGAGAGAGAGAGCTTTGGCTCATCCCTTTCCAAACTGCACAGTTAGTCTAGACTGCAGTCACTGCTAGAAGCTGTATTATTTTGAGGGAGGCTGTTTGTACGAGGATGGAAGTGCTCTGACTTAATAGTTTACAGTATATGCTCTTCATAAGGCTCCTAATGTTCAGTTTGACACCGTGTACATACTCGAACTTCACTGCAGAGTTCTTCTTCTTTTTACTGAAAATCCAGGCACACTGTAGCAGTAACTAACAAACCTCAACAGGTTCTTTATGTGTGGAAGCTGACATGAAGCTACAAAGATTTTCTATTTCCCACTTAAAACATATACATTCTTTAATAAAGACTGCTGGACTTGGTGGCTTATTCGAAATGCTACCCAAAGGTTTGGTTTATGACTGATAATTAAGAGTGGTAACTATAAACACGACTTATTTATGATGACTATTCATTCTTAATTTTTGCAACTGCATAAAAATATAACATTTTGTTTGTAAATTGATTAGGAAGAGGTCTGGTTCTTGCAATGCGATGCCAGTTGTCATTGCTTTTCAATTCACTCAGCTTTTAGGCTAGTTCAAGTTGACATGCACATCCCCAGGAGTGGGAGAGAGCAGGTGGCAGCAGCAGCACAGGGCAGTAATGAAAAGTTGCAGTCAAGACTGACAGGTTCCAGCAGACTTCACAGTCTCTACAGGAAGTCGTGGAAACACTCTCGTATAATTAGAGCTGATGAGATTTAGTATAATGTTATCAGTCCAATCTACTCAGCTTGCACTCAGTCTCTAGATGTTTTAGTTATGCTTTTACGCCTCTGTGCTGGCTGGTAGCTGTGGCCTGAGGCAGCATGTTTTCAGGTTGTAGGTCCCTACGGCTCATTATTGTGAACACAATATCTCAGGAACCCCTTAAGGGGATTTCTTGAAATTTGGCATAAAAATGTCCACTTGGATTCAGTGATGAACTGATCAGATTTTGGTGGTCAAAGGTCAGTGATCCCATCTCATCTTATCTTTGTTTATTGTTCCTCAATATTCTGTAACTTCTCATGTAAAACACATGCTATTGTATCAGTCTGCTGCTGTATATAAATCAGTTGACCAGACTTGGTGGCTGTCCCTCTCAAATTATACAAATAAATTGATCATTTATCTAAATGTACATTAGTATTTAGGTCAAACCTCACATACTATAGATTTCACTTGTATATGAATCTAACATCTGGATATTTCACCGCTATATCTATTCATCACTCAGGAAAATAAACCAATCATTCTCATTTGGCTCAAACCTTCTAACTCTTTATTTGGATGCTTGCTTCACTTTTTTATTTATTTATTTTTTAACTTTTTGCATGATGCTTTACCAGCGGAGCTGCTAAGTTTCACATCCCCTCTGACTTGTGGAATTAATCTAAAGGTCGGCATACGTCTGCAGTAATCCAAGGATATTAGCTACTTGCTCTGCATGTGTGAACTGTCTGGGTTTTATTCTGAGGGCCGACAGCAGGTTGTTTCGCTATGACAAACAGGTCTGGAGAATGAATCTGACAGGTTATAGGACCGAGATGTAACACAGCCCCCTGAAGGAAGGTGTGTTTGTGTGTGTGTGGACAGTAGTCCGTGTGTGTGTGTGTGTGTGGGTGTCTACAAATGTTTGCAGAGTAATATGCTCGATTTCCTTCATTACCTTTGAAGGAGGATCTAGTCTGTAAAATACATCTCTCTATACCTCAGCTTGATTTCTCACACTCCTACTTTTTCCAAACAATTCACTGCCAAAGCCAAAGCACCATTCAGGAATACCTTTGGATTTAGCTGAGCTGTAAACACCTTTAAGTCCTCTAACCTCCTTATTTAACATTTACATTTCTCTCGTTCTTTCTTTTTACTTTTTCATCATCCAGATGCCCCGGTGGCAGAGTTACATGACCTGTTCTGTAAGAAGCTGCAGCAGTGCTGCGTGCTGTTTGATTTCCTGGACTGCGTGGCCGACCTGAAGGGGAAGGAGATCAAACGTGCGGCACTCAACGAGCTGGTGGAGAGTGTGGCCACTAGCAGAGGAGTCCTCATAGAGCCTCTCTACCCAGAGGCTATAAAGATGGTAGGAGAGACGGGGAGAAGGGAGGTTTGGTGTTGAAACTATGAAAAAAAGAAGGATGAAAGACAAATGGCTAAATGATTAGTATCTTAATATCAAATGAAATGCAAAACTTTAGCACAGACAGTGACAAATGGTGGTCATGGTAGATGAGCAAACTGATCAATACCGCAATTGATGGAGGGAGTAGAAATACACAAACCCAGATAAATCAGGGTTCATCAAATGCAACACCTGACAGCTTTACTAATAGCAAGAAAAAAAGACAAGAGAAGGATGGATGCAGCAGGAAAGTAGTGCAATGTGAGAGGAGAAGAGCAAGATATTGAGGGGTGGATAGATAAAAGGGAGGAAAGGAAAGAGGTAGAACATTTGCAAAGGGTGCAAGTGGCGATATCTGCGCAGATGGCAAGAAAAAGAAGGATGGAAAAGATTGGAGAGTGTGGACACTGACACAGAGCAGCAGAGACCTCAGATGATATAAAGAGGAGGACAGGAAGAAGGGATTGAGAAAAGAATGGAAAACAAGTAGAGGATATAGCTCATGTTATGGAGTTGACAGAGGAATTAAAAATGGGACAGAGGATGGGGTGAAGGCTTTAAGCTTTAATGTGTGGCCAGAATGTAAAAAAATGAAAGTTTAAATAATTAAATGAACAGTAACAGAACTATTTTAGAGAACTATTTAGGTTAAGTCACAGAGATGCTAGCACAGACGTGCTAGCATCTCTGTTAGGCTGTAGTTCAGTTTGGCACAGCTTTCAGTGTGGGGCTGTATTTACAGCTATAACTAAATGCTAATGTCACTGTGCTAACATTCTCACAATGGCAATGCTAAGATGCACTTATAATGCTTACCATCTTTGTTTAGCATGATAAAATATAGCCTATAGCACGTAAGTGGACAGATGGACTAGCACTGCCATCCTTGGCTGCTGCTAGCATGTCCAAAAATATAGCTGAGCACTAACTTCCATGGACATTAGATTTGTCTATAATTATTAAGTCCAGGCAAAATTTACATGGAATGAATGAAATGAATAAATTGCTGCTAAATAAAGTGGCACTTGGATTTCACAGTGTAGTTTTACATGGCCAGAAGAGATGCAATTGCTGAATAAATCCTGACACACTGTGTCAAGCAGTTATGCTACATGACCTTTCACTGGTTCTTACAATACAGTCTGGGAATAGCCTGAAATACGGCTGACGTTAAGATAACTAGGAAGTTGAACAGTTTTTTTTTTGTTTGTTTTTTAGATGCAACAACTTTTTTATTTTTTACTTTTGACTGGACAGTTGTCATCTGATATACAGTAGTAGTGCAGTACTGCCACCTGCCTCACACAAATGTGTTGTGCCTATTTTATTTACTTCATTCAGTTCGTGAAACAGGTTAAACAGATGACTCAGGAATACTGTGACAATCAGTGTTGGGCTCATTTACTAAAAAAATACTCTTTTTTTAAAATGAATGTTATTATATATTACTCCCTGTCAAAAGTAACTCATTACACTACTCGTTATATTACTTTCTCATTACACCCCACAGGTTGGTAATTGCCTCCTCTCTGCTCAAAATGCACCTCCTAGTAGTGAGAATGTTGGAGGAATCACCGTTAATTGCCGGTGAATCCATAAAAATTACAGGCTAGAAGAGCACACCTGGCTCAAACTGATGACAAGATGCAGTCTGTTAAACAATGTTGTTGTTGTTTTTTTGTTTTTTTAACTGGGTGTCAACTGAGGGCAGCATGGTGGCGCAGTGGTTAGCGCTGTTGCCTCACAGCAAGCAGGTTCTGGATTCGAGCCCGGGCCAACCTGGGGCCTTTCTGTGCGGAGTTTGCATGTTCTCCCTGTGCTTGCATGGGTTCTCTCCGGGTGCTCCGGCTTCCTCCCACAGTCCAAAGACCTGCAGCATAGGTTGATTGGTGTCTCTAAATTGTGTGTGAGTGGTTGTTCGTCTGTGTGTTGGCCCTCTGATGGGCTGGCGACGTGTCCAGGGTGTACCCTGCCTTTCGCCCGCAGCTGGCTGGGATTGGCTCCAGCCCCCGTCACCCTGTTTGGGACTAAGCGGTTTGGAAATTGGTTGGTTGGGTGTCCACTGGTGCCTGTGACTGGTATTTTCTCAAGGATCTGTCTGAAAGATGGAGAGTCAATAGTGGAAATGGACAACATTTTGTCTGCCCCATATACAACCATTGTTGCGGTGTATCCCCACGAGCTTCACATTGTTGTGCTGTTTTTCATCAGCTTTGAGGTCATGTTTTTCACAGTGGAAAGAGTTTTACCGCTACCTGCTTACAGTTTACAATAATGTTGTTAACACCTTTTGTCCCGAAGTCAAATTTTCAAATCACTCTTTGCTGCGGTGACAACAAAAATAGTGTCTTAAGTTGTTTTCGGAGGTAGTAACTAATATAATTACAGAAATTTTATTTGTAAGCTTTTACACTACTTGTTACTGGGGAAGGTAAAATTATTAAAGTAACACTTTACGGCCCAACACTGGTGACAATCATGGTGAAACATCAGCATGATGATGTAAAGTCAAAGATTTAAATGTTTTTGCTAGAAAAATTCCATTATCGTAACTATACTGTTAAAAATTTAACATTTCAATCAGAGATTCACAGACCTGGTTCTTGTAAAATACAACTATTACACCATTTTGTTGTGAGTCAGCTCTGAAACGATGTCAAGATGTCCACAGCATTAACAGGAATGTCTGTCTCTCTGTCTACCCCTTTCTTTTTCACTTCTCCTTTTCCTCTGTCTTGCTTTTTCTTCATCTCCCATTTTCCTCCATCCTGCATCCCTTTACCTTTCTTCCTTCCTTGGTCGTGGCTTTCCAGATCTCTGTAAATATCTTCCGTACTCTCCCACCCAGTGAGAATCCAGAGTTTGACCCTGAGGAAGATGAGCCAACACTGGAAGCTTCCTGGCCACATCTGCAGGTAGACACCAGCACATCATGCATAACCAAATTCACACTGTTAAAATTAGGACCACAGCCTACACATTGCAGTGTAAGTAAATACCATAAAAAATTGGCTCTATTACATATTATACACTATATTTGTGAGTGCAAACTACGTTAGAATACATCGAACTCCCACCAGGTGTTGCTTTTAATGCAGCGTTCAGCAGTTATCTGCACATAAACAATACCTGAGCTCGAGAACCTTTAGATCAGTCAAAACTGCTATTTCAAGCAGAATCTTCTGAATGGATTTTATACCAGTTTTATCAGCCTCTCAAACTGGCAGTTTGCAGTTAAACTTGTGTGGTTTGCCCAGATGACATTTGGGTGTGGTGTGCAGTCACATCCCCACCTCTGGCAAGAGATGAATCAAATTATAACCCTGAAGTCAAAACGGTTGCAATTTCTTGGCTCCGTCTAAAGATAAAAAAAACAAAACACTACTTAATATGTTATATCTTGTTTGTTTACGTTGACTGAAATGTAAGGTGTAAGCACATGTAACTAGCTGGAGGATAACCAGTGTGCGAACTGTAGCACAGCTTTCAGGGGAGTTCACTCTTGTTTTCTACTTTCTCATGGTTGGACTAAATGACAGATAAAACCTTTATGAATGATTTAGCTTTTTTAAAGCCTCTTTCTTGTTGATAAGAACAGACCATGTTACTGTGTGCCCTCTCCTATGTGAATATGTGCACCTTTATATTCCTGAGTGTTATATTTTATTTTCTGTTTTACAAAGGTGAGAAGGAAAATCAAGTCTTTTGTGCATGCCACAGAGAGAGGACCGACTGTGACACTTAAAACAAAACTTCAGCTGCCTTGTTTTCTTTTTGACACTGTATGATCTGTAGCCTAAATGAAAACTGGTGATTCACACGCAGACTGTGTGGGAAGAATGTTTGTTCTTTTTTTTTTAAGGCAACTGACATGATCAAGAGAGATTGTTTTGCTGATCTTTGTGTCAAAGTGACGTTTACTGTGGCGCCAAGCTTTGATGGTGATGACAAGAACTGTATGCATGCTGGTCACTTGAAATCCATTCCCCCTGTTAACACTGTGTTTTTAGTAGCTCCCCCTCAGTGGTTATGGTCAAGATAAGGTCAGACTTAAAAAAAAACAGAGATTGATGTTAATCTTCTCTCTTGAAAAGAAAGCTAATTGCTAACTTGAAAGTTTGAAGTTGCGTCTTTCCAGTCTTTTGTGCCATTTTCTAATCCAGTTGTGTATGAGTGGTCTTTGTGCTACGCTCACTGGCTACTTGGATACATACTACAGTCAGTGTGCAGCAAGAAAACGATTCATTCCCGAAAGGCCAAACTTTGCCAGGAGACTAACACAGGCACTGTATGATCTCCTCCTGTTTGTGTGTCTCAGCTGGTTTACGAGTTCTTTCTGCGTTTCCTGGAGAGCCCCGACTTCCAGCCCTCCATGGCCAAACGCTACGTCGACCAGAAGTTTGTGCTCCAAGTAATCCTCTGTTCCTTTTCTTTCTTGAAAGCCACACTTTGTCATATCAAAAGCTCTGAGTTACTTCTAAAATCCCTATAAATCGAAAGGTATAGATAAATGACATTTTCTTTGAGACAGCTCTATTGTAGGTGTACTGCTAAGGTTAAATTTTGCTTTCTGTGTTTAGGTGCACACATTAAAAAAATGACTTAGACTTCTTGTTGTACAGCTTTTATATTTAATATTGTAATGATATATTGAAATGTTCTCACCAAATACTGAAGTGCTATAATCATGTTGCTTGTGTGTGTCTAGCTCCTGGAGCTCTTTGACAGTGAGGACCCCAGGGAGAGGGAGTATCTAAAGACTATCCTGCACCGTGTCTATGGAAAACTGCTGGGCCTGCGAGCCTACATCCGTAAACAGATCAACAACATCTTCCTCAGGTACAGGCTACAATATGACAATCCACTGCAAAGGATTTAAAGGTGCTGTTTGTAGCTTTCCAACATCAATAAATCAGCCATTACCACACAAACAGCCAACAGCAGGAAGATGATCTGCCTCTGTGACTCATTTTATAGTTCACATCAGCACAAAACACAACTATAAACCAGTGCTTACCACTGGCTTTTATTCTTAAACTGGAACTAGCTTCACTGGAACTTACTACTCATCATATTGTAATATGACTAATTTGGCTAAACTGTGAGGGCTTTAAACAAAGTAGAATTATAGCGCAAATGTTTAGTTGCTGACTGTAGGCATTTTACATAATCGTCTCGTATGTCTCATTCTATTGTATTTTATTGCCTACATTATGTTTAGTTTTTGTTTGTGTGTGAGAGAGCTGGTTGACTATAAATTTAATTTCCCTTTGGGACAAATAAAGTCATCTGAATCTAGTTCTTGCCACAGTTCCTGAATTTTATTTCCTGGGACTTAATGTTTCTTAATCTGTCAAAAAGCAACTTGGCAATAATGAGAAAGGGGCAGCAGGAAGCCTGATGAAAATGTAGGTGAAATACCGAGAAACACAAAATGCTGACAGGCATGTGCAAACGTGACATTTGCAGTCCTAACACTCTCTGACAGCCATAAACCTTCCTCCTGCATTTATCCAGAAGGCTAAGTCATTGTGTAGTGACACAAATCTCCTCAAACGTTTGGTTTAACAGCTACTAACAAATAGGCAAAGCTGTGATGTTTCATCTGTTCTTTTCACCAAGTGTGGCTGAAGTGGCGCCTTTTGTTGCGTTGCAGTATAATTAAAGTACAGGAGAGCGGTGTCACAACAAGAAGCTCTGTTCCTACCTCAGTTAACTGGTTTTACTTTCACTGTTTGTGCCTTTTGACAGCTACATGATAGAGTGCAAACCTATATCTGCTTAACTTATTGTATTTCTTGTTCCACTCATTTCTCTCTCGCGATAACATCAGAGACGTTACAGAGGTGTATTCCAGACAGGAGATGTCTGAGAGTTGATGCATTCCTTAGGAAGGTTATGAATATCTGGGAGGTTTATACATGGGTCAGGAAGATAACCTACTGTTTCTTTTCAGTAGAGGTTCATTTATTACTTCTGTGCTTGTTGGTCGACAGACTTCTATGTGTTGTACTGATGTATCATTGTAAGTAATTCTGTTTGTGATCTTCAGGTTCATATATGAAACTGAGCACTTCAATGGAGTCGCTGAGCTGCTAGAAATCCTCGGCAGGTCCGTACACACAAGCACGCACACTGTAGAGCATACAAATCATACTTTGTGATATATCATGGCCTCATGAATTTGATTAGAGTAGAACTGATTAGCAGTACAGTATCTGTACCTGACCAGCTGCTCTTATTTATGAGACACCTGATAACCCAGCGAATTAAGCAGCTACAAGAAATGGCGACAAAATGTAACCACGTCTGTGACTGCTCGACACAAAAGTAACTTATTTTTCATTGATCGTCAAGGCTGCCTTATTCTTATCAGGTGAAGACAACTGTGCAAAGCTCAGTGAAATGAGAGTTGAAAGATGAGCAAGGGAGGACAATAGGACAATGACTAACAGGGAGTGGGGGTTAAAGACGTAAATGAGAAATGACTGAAGTCTGCTTAGTTTCCTGCTTTGTCTTTGAGGTCAGAGAAATATGAGGAAGGATGGAAATTAAAAGGGGAGCAAGGAAGGAAGCCACTCTGATGCTCTCTGCCTGAGCACATAGAGGAAAGTGAAGAAAGTTGAAAATGGGGCTGGATTCAAAGATGTTTAGAGAGACTGGAGAAGCTTTTCTGAGTTTTAGTTTTTTCCCAGCATAAAGAGGTTCATGTAAAGCTTTTCTTCTGACCCATCACTGCCATTTCCCCTGTTAGCAATCACAAGGTGAGATAAAAAAATGAATGAGGACTTTTGAGGTTTTAGAATTGTGGGCTAGCTGAAAAAGGTAGAGGCAGGGATGGAGGGATGAGAGCTGGAGGGAGGATGAGTGAGTGAAGAGTCTGTGACTCAAAAGTGGAGGGAGGAGAGAGAGATTTGTATTCATGCTGGTGGTAACCGAGGTATTTATAGCTCCTCCCACACACGGAGAGAGGGGAAGAGAGATGAGCAAAGGAGGATGCATTGTACAGAGAGAGAATGAGAGAGGAAGAAGACAGAGGTGTTGAGGGAGGGAGGAAGACGGATTAGGTTATTAAAGGAACATTCTATTAAACAGAGATACTCTTACAAAATGAAAGCTGACTGATAAAACTGACCAACAGCTCTGAATGCTGCAAGCTAAGCATCATACTTTCCAAGTTTAGTTCCCACTTTTTAGTTTCTCATACTCTATATCGGTCAGAAGAGTAGTGAACAGAGCAGACCGCCTGTTTGTCTGGTCACCTAATGGACACAGTACCAGAATAGATTCCCATCACACAGGTGGATGCAGAAGCACACATGTGACTAAAGAGTTCTGAAGTAATATACAGTGTTGTCAGGTAAATAAATGTTAATTATTCTGCTTCCGCTAAGCTAAAGTACCAACCTCACCATATAGAGTTACATTTTTAGTCCAAATGATTGCTATAATGGGCTCACAGTGCTATGTAAGGATGCAAAATAATAATGCGTGTTCTTGTGGAGCCCCTAGGAGATCAAGGTTTTTTTTGTTTGTTTTCTTTTTATGTTTGACTGTCCAAGAGTTGATTTTGATCTTGTATCAAGAGAAAATGCCAAATATTCACTTGATCCTTTTTAAAAACTGATGTTCTTAGTTGACAGTTTTAATCAAACTAACAATCTCACAATCATGTTGTTTTTAAAGACTGTGTAACAGCAGTGAAAGGCATCCCCTTGTTTTTGCCAGGAAGAAAACAAATGTGATTTTTACAAAATGCTATAACATTTATATACTCTCCCGCAGCATCATAAATGGCTTCGCTCTGCCTCTGAAGGCCGAACATAAGCAGTTCCTGGTTCGGGTCCTCATTCCGCTGCACACGGCAAAGTCCCTTTCCATCTTTCATGCACAGGTGAGTGACATGATCTCGTGCACACTAACGTTCATATTTCTTTTGTTTATGTATCAGACTGTTATTGAAAGGCTTGATACCTGTCGACATCCAACACTCATGACAGTTTTACAATAATTTACTTACTTTTATAACCCGTCAACCTTTTTCCTGGTTTCCCATGATTCAAAGCTGGTTTTTCTTTCTATTTGGGCTGTGTATTTATCTTTGTATTGGTGCTGTGGTCACTGTAAAAGATGGGTTTAGCACAAATGTCCACACATCAGAGGTGGCCACACATTGTGGATGTTTTAGGAAGTCATCAGCACTTCTCATGGACTGAGTAGATGACATGAAGCAATAGGTGTTTAGCTACATTTACATTGTTTATTACCTTGTGTTTTCTGAAGGTGTTGATGGTGAAGAATTGCGGAATTACAAAAACACGGAAGCATATCATGATCTTCATTGGTACAAAATAGGTGAAATACTATTAAAAAAACAAAAAAAAAAAAGCAGTGACTTCATCCTATATTTCTGGAGGCAGAGCATCAGCCAAGCCAAACATATGGCATGGGTATTAGAACAAAAAATATATTTACAAAAACACAAATTAAATATGCTTTTGGGATATATACTTACTTTCTCATACTTGTGTTTTAACAGCAGTAAGTATGGACAGTGATGGAAGTGCTCACACTGTAATAATACTCCATTACAATTAAAAGTCCTCGATTTAAAATGTTATTAAAGTAGAAGTATGCAAACATAATCAGGAAAAGTTGATTGAAATAGGGGTCATTTTTAACTGTGTTGTACAAGACTGCAGCTAATGATTAGTTTCATTGTGGATCAATATTCTTTGGTGTGATTGTTATGTAAAATCAAGCTTTATGAACATAGAATGAAATGGTATGAAATGTGTTTGCTACGGCAGACTTTGCTTCATATACAAAGTACAAAACATTCACAAACCAGTACATTACAGTGACAAATGGAATGAAAAACCTGGATAAAGGAGTAGTCTCTTCCAGGATGACAGTGCCCCCATCCATAGGGCACGAATGGTCACTGAATGGTTTGAGTATGAAAATGATGTGAAGTGAGAATGCAATACCATAGTACAGCAAAGCATCTGTGGCACTTTGAAGCATGAAGTACTCATTGTCATCACACTGAGTCATCTTATCCTGCATAGCTTTTCTGCCGGCTGCCTTGCTGTAGTTGTGATCCCGTTATGCAGGGTCCTCCCACTGAACTGAGCGGCCGTGAAGTGTGCAGCATTTGAGAGGCCAGCTTGATCTGAGACGGTCAAAGGGAAGTCGACTAGACAGTCTGACAAACACGCACAGGTGCAGCCAGAGTTTCAGTGTGTGCCTAGAATAGTTAGCATGTCTTATCACTACAGTTTGTGAGACTTGCACTGAATATTAGATTACCTACATCTATGATTACGTTCGCTCTCAAACTGCATAAAATAGTTTTTACAATGACAATGTGATTTGAGGAAAAACCTTTAATTACATGAGGCTCTTTCTGAAATATTCTAAATGTTTTCAATGCAGCCAAAAATTATACACACACAGGGAATAAACATAGATTAATGTTACTGTTGTTGTTAAGTAAATAAATCTCCTAGAAAAGCAATGCCAACATATGATTTTCTGTGTAAAACGGGATAACTGTTGAATTCAGGAGGTCTGGATTAATGTTGCGGTTGGATATAGCCATGCTAGTCACTGTTCAGGGTGCCGCTCTGTGAGCTCCTTATCAACAAAGTGAAAAGGGCAAACATATACTTTAAAACATACATTTTAATCTCGGAGCCACACTAGTTTCCTGGCATGGAGCGCAAGGCCTTGTTGAAATTTTTGATGTTCTTGACAAAATGGTTCTGAAAATGGCTTGAACTGTTGTGGCTGCCAGTGATGGCACAAGTTTTAAATGAGCTCATTTTAAAAACAATCAGTAATGCACATAGTGTGACATTGTTTTTGATTTGCAATATACTTTGAGTGTTCTTCATTGCACACATAAAGTGCTTTACACCATTTCCCATTCACACACAAACTGATAGCATCAGGAGCAACTTGGGGTTCAGTGTTTTGCTGAAGAACATTTTGCCGTGTAGACTGGAGAAGCCAGGATTTGAACCACCAACCCTTCAGTTAGGAGACGACCTGCTCTACCTCCTGAACCACAGCTGTGTGTTTGTATTGTTTTTAAAGGACAACACAGACAGTGATGTTTGATTGTTGGTGCCGTTGTTGTGGGAATATTTTACGTCTTTGTCAAAGTGTAAATTCCCCTGAAACCGCTGTTATATTTAGATATGTCCATATCATCTGGCTTGAATATAACACGCATGTGTAAAGCTAAAACCTAAGAATCTAGTGAACAACTCTTAAAATAAAGCTGTAAGTACACCTCAGTACTTAGTGATTTCAACAATGTGTCAGATGTACCGCTAGGGGGCAGAGTTGAGTCACAGATGAAACTGCAGAGACATGCGCTCACCTTTGAACTACACAGTGTGTGTATGTGTGTGTGTGTTGGGTTTCTTTGGTTTGCATGTATTCATGTATAGGTATGTGTGTTTGCGTTATCATAATATTTAATGACACTGTTGGCAGCCAGTCTATTGTATATGTGTGAATTTTATTTGTGCCACACATTATTTGATTATGCAGTGGGTACAGTTTGTTCTCATCAAACCGGACTGGTGTGTGTGTGTGTGTGTGTGTGTGTGTGTGTGTGTGTGTGTGTTTTCTGGGCCTCGGCATCAACATGCCCTACATTTCTCCTCCCTGTCTCTCTCCCTGTGGCTCACACACATACATTATTCACACACTCAAACATTGTTTGCCAGGGTCACAGAGGAAGCATTGCTAATGGACAGCAGGTTTGCGCTCAGTAGGTGTGTGCGACATTGTAGAAGTGACCCAGTTCTGGATCTAAATATCAGAATATAATATTACAATGGCACCTTTTTATTCATCTTCAAGGTTTATCACCACTGTGAAATAAATTTAAATCATGCTTCTGGAGTCTGTGAGGGCTTTCTCATGTATATTTCTGCCAATTAAACTTACTTAATTGTAATAACACCTGTTTGAACTATGGCCACAACATGGTTTTAAAATAATAATGACCATAGAATTAGAAAATCAAAAAGCACTGCATCACATTTCCTAAAGTCAAGCTGGAATTAAACATGATCTATGCTAAGCAATCAGTATATACAGTATAATCTTAGTTTGTTTTGTACTTATTGGGTTGCAGAGGAAATTAAACTTTGAATTATTTTTGTCCTGCAAAATGACCCCATACATTATTGTTTTCCAGGTGGTGTATTTCTGCAGTTTCAGACAGTGTTAGTACTGTAATTTGACTGGTGCAGTATCTGTGTGGGTGAGGACTAAAAATACTGATGACAAATGAAAGGACAAACCAACATGAAGTGTTTCAGGAAGGTGTTGGGCCGCCACGTGCCACCAGAACAGCTTCAGTGCGCTTGACTCTCCAAGTCTCTGAACACTGTTCTTCTAAAAGATATTCCCTCATGTGGTGTTTTGATGATGGTGGTGGACATGCTGTCTCATATGTCGCTCCAACATCTCCCATAGGTGTTCACCTAGGTTGAGATGTGGTGACCGTGAAGGCTACAGAATATGGTTCACATCATGTTCATACTCCAACGTTTCAGTGCCCTGTGGATGGGGGTGCTGTCATCCTAGAAGAGAGTACAACTATTAGGTTTTTCTTTAAATGTGTTGCCTGTCTATAGTTTGTACCACTTTATTTCCACACAACTTCAGAGATATGATTTTTAGCTGTTGCTTTGTGATTTAACACTTTAATAAGTTTCTTTGACTCCATATGTTTGTGTTATAATTGGAATCAAACTGTGACATGCACAGTATCTTACATTATTTCAATATTCATAGGTTATTGAGGCCTGTGATATGTGCCACTGCTTAAATATATAAAGTGAGGAGAACTCAAATTTCAGTTTTATTCAAAGATTGTGAATAATCATGTCTATCTGACAAAGTAATAGAGAGAACGTTAAAAGCAAGATTGTACTTTGATGTGCCGATCATAACAAATGCACAAGCAACAGACCAACATCAGTGTGCTCTAGAATGGCTTCATCCTTAATAACAGAGCTGGCACCTTGATCAATAATGGTAAAATCTCAGCCCGCTGTCCATAATCCTTAGCCTAACCTAACAACAGCCTCCTGCCCCCACAAATCCCACCCTGACAACAGAAGCCAGCATCATATTTACCCCACACACTTTCTTTAATGCCTCACTAATGTTTTAAATAGTTTGACTGCTCTGGACCTTCATTATAATCCTCCTCATTTTCCTGCTTTTCTTTTTATTCAAGCCCGCTTGACATTTCTCTTTTCACTGGTCCCTTCTTTTTTTAGCCTCCACTCCCTCTTTTCCTCTGCTTCTTTAACCATGTTGTGATGTGAGTAAAAGAATGAGAGTAGTGATGGAGTGAGAGGAGAAGACAGAAAGGTGCACCATAAGAAGGAAAGAAGGGTTGGACAAGGATGAAAGCTGAGGAAGATGTGAAAATCAGACAGAAAGAAACGGATCTGTCCTACAAATGGAGAACAACCAGCACACAACCTTTGCTGTCTGGAGCTAGAAATATTGACAGTCAACATACTTTTATTTTATTGTGATTTGAACATTCTTATCTGGAAGTTGTACACTGGACCAGTACAGTATAAATGTGAGCAAGGCAAAAGTACAAACAAGACACAACGGAAAACAGAAGAAGGCAGAGACCAGAGGTCTAAACTCTATCTCACATTGCCCTTAAGGGGCTTCGTGTGTGTGTGTGTGTGTGTGTGTGTGTGTGTGTGTGTGTGTGTGTGTGACATCACCCCTTTCCGAAGTAAACACACGCACACACAGTCTTCGTTGCTACGGTGCCCACTTGCCAAGGCAACTAGTCTGGGGTGTGGGGGAAACTGCAAAACACACACACACACACACGAATGCACACATTTGCAAAATAATAGGAAATTATTGCAGATCATACTGTAGAGGAGGAGACGAGCTGATAAAGAAGTAGATATGTACGCACATTCTCTCTCACTCACTCACTCTCTTTCACACACACACACACACACACACACACACACACACACACACAACAAAGCACATTCAGCCTTGTGATATACACATCTCCCTTTGGAAAACTTGTCTTTCCGATCTTTAGCAGTTGTAATCCTGAGGGATAAGTGCTAAGATTCCTCTTGTCTCCTTGACAGGTTCAGGGAACGGTTGTGTGTTTGTGTGTGTGTGTGTGTGGGTGTGCCTTTGTATTACTTAAATCATGAGGACCGAAACCTGTTAACACACTCACACCGTGGGGACCAGAAGCTAGTCCCCACAATGAAATCACTGAATTTTAGGGGGGCAACTTGGTTTAGGGTTAGGTTAAGTGTTAGGGTTAGGTGTTAGGCAAGTAGTGGTTATGGTTAAGGTTAGGATAAGTCTACAAGAAATGAATGTAAGTCAATGTAAAGTCCCCAAGGGTTAGGGTTAGGGTTAACCCAATTAATGAAAACACTGTGTGTGTGTTCTAACTATCTGTCCTCTGTCCTTACAGCTGGCCTACTGTGTGGTGCAGTTCATGGAGAAAGATGCTACCGTCACTGAATATGTAAGGACAGTTTTATAAGCTGAATATAGGTATTTAAAGAATGATTCTGGTTTATTCAGTATTATCTACCATACAAATTGCTGAGATCTAGGAACATGGTAAAAATTGCTAGACACGTTTCTTAAAAGTTTTAAAGCTGCACTAAGCTTTACTATTTTATATGAACAAAGTACGGCATAATCATGTTGATGTGAAAGATGTTGCTCTGAGAATCACCACCTAAATCCCTCTGCAGAGCAATTTAGCATCGTTCAGCTCATATTTTGGTTTCGGTGGTCACAACTTCTTAATTTTGGGACCTACTCCCTGGTTGAAGTTCAACCAGGGAGTGAAATCAGTTTTAATGTTCAGTGAGGGATTATTACAAACATTTCAGATCTCAGCATTTACTTTAGCAAGTACAGCGTTATCATGACTGATAGAAATGGTGGACAGAACTATTAACATAAGCCTCAAGAAATAAACTAAAATTGTCAGAACATTTGCCATAACCTACTTTTTTCATTCATCAACATAATACAGTAAAAAATAAGATGCAGTACAAAGTTAACAGCATTTATTGATGCACTAGCCAGAGTATGAATATGAGTTAATGGAGATGGTACAGATGGATGCGGGCCAGCCACCCTGCTGAGCTAATGGATGCCGTGTTTATTTATATGAATGTGTTTCCTATTTTCTCTGCAGATCATCAGAGGGCTGCTCAAGTACTGGCCAAAAACCTGTACGCAGAAAGAGGTGAGACTGCTGGTGAATAAAAAGAGTTTGTGTTGCTTTTATTAGTCAACAACCAAAATCAGCTTAAGTATTTTCTTCAGTGATAAGATTCTTTCATTCCTTAATTGTTTGTTAGAAATCTTCCTCAGCAGTTGTTGCTTAGAGCATGTTAACATGTTTCATTTCGCTCTCAAAGCCTTGTGCTTCTCTGTTCTTCATGTAATAAAAAACGTGTGTCTGTCTATTCAGGTGATGTTCCTGGGGGAGATCGAAGAGATCCTGGATGTGATTGAGCCATCTCAGTTTATCCGCATTCAGGAGCCGCTCTTCAAGCTGATTGCAGCCTGTATCTCCAGCCCTCACTTCCAGGTAGAATAATGGAAAAGAAAATAGGCACACAAATTGGCCCTTGCACCCAAACTAGCAAACTGTTTTGGGAGTAGAGATCGAAATACATGTGATTACTGTAATCTGATTGTGGAAAAAACAGAAACATTAGATATTTGGATAAGAGACAAACTGAAGTCTGATAAAATGAAAGCCAAATCTTGTGTGTGTGTTTTTTAGGTAGCGGAGAGAGCTCTTTACTTCTGGAACAATGAATACATCCTCAGTCTGATAGAGGAGAACTGTCAAGTCATCCTGCCCCTGGTATTCACCACCCTCTACAGAGTCTCCAAGGAGCACTGGAACCAGTCAGTGACACATGAGCACACACTAATGAACATAGTTTTTAACTCCATACAGATTGCAGTGTTGGGATTTTTACTTCTAGTCTATTTGGGCGTAACCTTGAAGCCCCTCACTGTTTGGATGGAAAATGCCTACATTTAAACATGCTCCCAGTTCATCTTCTGTCCCCTCAGAGGGAGAGAAAGTGTTTTAATGGGAGCTGCAATTGGAATAAAAGGTACAGCAACAAACTGTGAAGGCCTGTTAAAGAATTTAGTGAGTCAGTAATGTGGCCTGTTGATCAACAGGCAGCATCCAAAAAAAGTCATCTCACAGCTACAGAGTGTTCAAAGCAGAACTGAACCTGTGCAGTTTGGTCCCTTTGCAACATGCGCCTATTCTGGGGGACAATGAATAAACATTTTTACTCACAGACAATAAAATCATCCACATGCCCTCTAGGTCATTCATTCTTGGGACTCAAGTTAATACTCGGCAAAGGATGACGTATTTAGACCCTTTACAATGCAGAAATACTCCATTCCAGTGTGTGTGAATGTCCCTACCAAAGTATCTGATCACATGTTTTGTATGTGAAACCTGAAAAGTAACATGTAACTAAAGCTTTTGAGTAAATGTAGTGTAGTAATAAATACGGTACATTGTTCCATCCATTATCTGTACCACTTATCCTGGTGGCGGGCACTGGAGCAAATTCCAGCTGATACTGGGCGAGAGGCGGGGTACACCCTGGACAGGCCACTATCTTATCATAGGGCTGACATGTAGATAAATAACCACACACAGTCGCCAGTCAACCTAAGCTACATGTCCTTGGACTGTGGGTGGAAGCCGGAGCACCCGGAGAGAACCCGCACAGGGAGAAAGGCCCTGAGTCGGCCCAGGCTCGAACCCAGAACCTTCTTGCTGTGAGACGACAGCACTAACCACTGCACTGCTATGCCACCTATACAGTAGATTATTTCCTTTTCAAAAGAAAGTATGGTATAAACTGGAAATAACCTTTTATGGACACATGAATAACTCAAGTATTATTATTTAGGCAGCACATTCAGTTGCCAATTGGTCAGTCTCCCTAAAAAGCATGGACTTTTCCTTTCACCTCTGTCTCCTGACCCACAGTCCCATGGGACAGACAATCAGCCAGATTAATTCTATTCTATTTACATCCCTTCAGGACCATCGTGTCTCTGATCTATAACGTGCTGAAGACCTTCATGGAGATGAACAGCAAGCTGTTTGATGACCTCACTGCCTCCTACAAAGTAGAGAAACAGAAGTGAGTATGACTCACTCTCTTTGTGCCTGTGTGTATTTGTGTCACTGGATACAGCAGTGACAACAAGAGGAAGAAATAGAAAGCTCTTGAGTCATGCTCTAAATGGTTTTTGTTCCATTTTCTATCACATTTATATTTCACATTGTTTTTATGTATCACTTAGGTCATTGTTATCACATCATGATTCCACTTATTCATTACCCTGTTTCGAACTCAAGATAGTGGAGAGCATTATCCATCTGCTCAGTATTTCTGTGCAGGATCTTTGGTGACAGTGTGCGTTTCCTGATTTGTCGGTGAAAGCACAGGTTTTGGTCTCTCTACAGCAGTGGTATGGTGGCATGCACACTCAGGTATACAACACATACCCACCTCTGGGCAGGCGGATACCTAAAAATACCCACATAAATTTATCACTGTCCATCTGGTATAATGCAGCTGCAGGCACTCAATGTCTTTCATGTAATCGGTGGTGTTTTCTGTGCTCCAGAGACTCTTGTTCCCTGATTTCACCGAGCCTATGGAGAAGTTCTGACTTAAGAACAACCAGTGTATCTTACATTGTAGTTTTATAACCTGCAAGCTTCATGGGGAGACATGAAACAGTATGGACTAGTATAGTAACAACTAATTAGGCACATACAATTGCAAATAATAAAGGATAATATGAAGGCAGTCATGAGTGAAGAGGAGAAATGTCTAGACAATGTCATCTCTTTGACAGTGTAAAGTTATTTGGCCCCCGTGGCACTGTGGGGTGGGGTGTTGATCAGTGGTAGATGAAGTATTTACATCCTGAAAGTAACACTACTAGGACAAATTGGGCATGAAAAGTGTGACCACCAATGTTTCAGATAAGAGAATGCTGCTTTTTTTTCAGGATTTCGAAACCTAATTCATGTACTCGGTGATTTTAATCATTCAAAATGGGCTGGATGGTTAAGAACACATTTTCCTGTAGTGTGATAAACTCAGAACATATTTATAACTGTTTTGCATGAACTATAAATAAATGTTTATCACTGGCTAAATGTATTAAATCACTGGGAGTACCATTAGCTTGTTCATTGGGTTCCCTCTCTCCTTTCAGTCCTTTTGTCTTCCTTTCTTCTTTCCTTCAACCTGACTCTCCAGGGAACTGAAGCGAGAGAGGGAGCGTGCAGAGCTCTGGCGAGGCCTGGAGGAGTATCAGGAGTGCCGGATGCAGATGCTCACAGAGGCCGCCAGGAACCAACGCAACCTCCAAGAGCGAGGCGAGAGGGGGGACCCACCAAACCCTTCTTCCCCACAGATGGCTCACTCCGACCAGCCTGAGCCCAAACCCAGTGGGGTCTCCTGTGGAGCTGGAGAGAGCACCACCTAGGTGCCGCTCCACAGAGTTTGGATAAATGAGGGGTTGGGGATGAGGAGAAGACATGAAGTTGATGGTTAAAGATGTAGACAAAGGTACAATAACAAATCCTCAGTTTTTTTTTTATCTTGTATCATCAAGAGGGTAGCTTTTTTATTTAAAAAAAAAAAAAAGCACACAAACATGGTGATCCAAGGTAAAGAATGTACCTTTTTCCTGTCAGGGTTGTGTGAAACTGGTTCACTTTTTTGCTGTACACACATTATGCTACAGATCAGAAGATAAATATTGTCCAAAAGTGTAGACTGTCATTGTGGTTTATTACACTGCCGGTCAGTATCCAAATTTGGTAGCTGGCTTGCTTCAAATCAGAGTAAGAGATGTAATCTCTTTTTTGGTGCAACACTTTCCAAGTTTAACCTGTGTCTAAACTTAACATCTAATCCACTGAGTCTGCACTTTGGCCTCATATTCATCATTTTGGTCAGAGATGCGTATTTCATGTGTGGATAGTGCAAAACATTAATAAATAAAGGAAGCAATTTCACACAAATGTCCCACAACCCATAAGGCACAGACCAGACCCACAACCTGCCTCACACAGACACACACACACACACACACACACACACACACACACACACACACACATATATGCAGGAACATATTTACAGTAAATATGAAGGCAGAACTGCGGTACAGAGCCTGTACCCAGGTCACACAAATCTTACATGCCATAAATTGACTGATTCACTAGAATATTCAATACAAACACTCGCATACAGTCACATCTCTGGTTCTGGTGCTAACTCGTTTCCCATTCTGTCGGGTTCCACCAAAGGACGAGCCTAAAGTCCCTCAAGGTTAAATAGCCACTGATGAAGATGATTATGTTGTAAAGTACAATAATGTTCCTTCTTCTTACTTGTTACTCTACTACTACTACTCTACTCTAAGTACTACTGATGATGATGATAATGTTTTTATATATATATATATACATATGTCTCTGGATATTTCTGTAGTGTGTTATGGGAGAAACATAGTGTAGCAGACACCATAAAGGGGGAGGCCGCCACATCACATGTTAACAGTATGAGGCCGTAATGTGAATGCCGAAGTTCAGTGGAATTCCCCTTTAACTGACCTTTAAAGAGGGGAGGAATGAACTGGATTGGTGGGGGCTGTTTTTCTTTTATTCTGGATGTTTGTGGTGCAGTGGGTGGACTTTAAAGGGATATTTCATAAAAAGTCAATAACATTCCGTGTTTAATATTAATGTGTGTTTTTGTTAAAGCTCCCCTGTGGAGTTTTCTTTATATTTACATTCAGTGTTACTCACCATAACACGCTTTGCACCCTTGAGACCTGACAAATGCATTGAATGAATTCTCTTACTCATAAAACATTTGCAAAGCAGATTTTTCAGATATCGAACTACTGTCTTGTTTATATTCATGTCTTCTTCACTGCCTTTGTGGGTGTATTGCTGCTTTTCTTTGCAAGTTGTTGCCCCCAGTTGTCAATCAGCAAAAAAGAGTGAAATCAGCGGTATGATGTCAGGCACATTGCCCACAAGCCCACAGTGCTACTAATAGTCAAGAACTCCACAGGGTACCTTTAATGTTTGTGTTGCAGCACACACTAAGACTTTTTCTGGGAATAATTTAAAGTTTAACGATTGTGCCTACTGTAGATCATATTTGATGAAACTGAAGCTTATAACCCCCCAGCAAACAACAAAAAATGAATCCAAGACCAGTAAGCCCCACCCAGCACAAAGGTGGCTGGAGGATAAATGAAGTGCACCACAAGTATTTCAAACCAAAAGAAAAACACAGTAATCCAGTGGCACCTCTGAACCCAGAGCGTCGGTTCCCTTAGGCTCAGCAGACCTGATGCTGCTGGATGGCGAAAGTGACGATGACAACTTTTTTTTTTTTTTGGTATTAACCAACAAAAATCAGTTTATTCTTGTCTGATCTTTATGATGGAGTGATGCGATAGAGAGGGTGAAAAAAACCTGAAAAAATATTTAGCAATATTTTCATTCTTTCAGGATAATCTGTGTGTTTTAGGGGGTGAAACAAGGAGTGTCACACTCAAATGTTTCCCCCTTCTCCCTCCAGCTGTTGTTTTTACTCCAATTGTGTCCTTGATATTTACATTGTCTTAAAGGTACTTTCTGTGTAAATTTATTTGATGGAAAATGATTTTTCTTTGTAATTATGTTGTTTATTTTCTTGGTTTTTGTATGATCTTGTTCATTTTGTGGAAAACTGATACCGATGCTATTTATTTTCTATTTGATCAGGAAATGTAAGCTTATTTGATTGAGGGTCAGGATGTGTGTGTGTGTGTGTGTGTGTGTGTGCGCGTGTGCAATGTGTGTATCCAGTGAGTGAATTGGTGAGCAGGAGATGTGTAGACAGAGCGAAAGAGAACAAGAGAAACTATTCTCTCTCTGCTTCTTTTTTTCTCTCTCTCTCTCTTTTCTCAAGGGCAGGGTTTGAGTCCGAATGTATCGTGAAACAAACTGATTGTTTTTTTGATGCTTGAGATGCAGAGCTACCTGTCGGCTGCTTCGTAACCAAACGTTCAGAAACCCTTCAGACCAGCAGTTTTTCAAAACACTCACTTCAAATCATGCCTGAGTCAACAAGGTTTTGAAATCATTTGTCTTGCAGCTCTCAGATTGGCAAGTTTAGTGAGCTGTTAAATGATGGAATGAGTGACTTGGTTTATGTTTGAGTTTGGCACACTTGGTCTAATGCTTTCAGGCTGCAGTCACGCCAAAGCTGCCATTGACATCACTGTACAAAACAGGTCGTTACTCTCAAATGCTTTGCAGTACGCTTCTTTTGCAGATCAAACATTCAGGTTGCAACTTCCAAAATGCGCACAGTCAAACTACATATATTTAAAGTTGAGGATGACAGTTCACTGTTGAGCTTGGCAACAATATTTTAACCTAAACAAAAAACTTTACACAAGGTTCTTGAACTTGTTTTTTCCACACCTTACAGTCACATGTCCTAAGTATGACGCTTCGATTGTGTGATAACAGGTGTTTGAAATGTATGACAGCTGAGTATAGTCCTGTGGATGGTGAAAGATATGGTTGAAGGCTCTGGGTAAAGCTACAAATTGGACCTAGAATAAAGACAAGACACACTGTTAGCAATAAATGTGTTAGTGGTTCCCAACCTTTTGACTTGTGACCCTTTGAAACTAATAGCTCCCTGTGTTAGATTCTTGCCTGCTCAGTTCAACCAAAGAAAGACTTTTACTTCTTAGTTTGTGTCATTGATAGGTTTTCCTGAAGCCTGAGGTGGTAAGAAATACACAGTTAACAAAATAAGCAAAGAATTGAGCAAAATGAGGAAAATTGTTTTGATAGCCTTGTAATTAACTTGTGACTTCTCAAATTTATCTTAGGCCCCCTTGTGGGGTCCCAACCCCCAGGTTGGGAACCTCTGACATATGCCTTTCTTAAGTACTACAGTGCTGTATATTCATTTTCCTCCTGTTTCTGTATATGCCAGGAACGTAGACCTAACACTCACAAATATATGTTAATCCGTGACAGCCACAGAATATGCACTAATAGATCTGCCTCATACTGTTGAACACCTCAAAACCTGCGTCTGCAGACGCCATCAGGTAAAATTAAAAAAAAATCTTCCATTTGGTTGGATTTCAAATGTTGTTTTGATTCAGGCACGTAACACTCAAAAACACAACTGAGAAAGAACTGAGAGGAGACCAAACCTGACCTAGGTGTCAGAAAAACATATTTATGTTTTTCTAGCTTATTCACAAATGCATTTGATTGTTATTGTCAATCAATCAGCTGACTTGGGGAAAACAGACACCCAGCTCCCACTATGCTAGAATTCTCACTCACTGGTATAGATCAATAATATTCTTCAATTCTACAATCCTATCGTCCATTCTAGAAATACTCCAGAACAGGAAGAGAGAGTGGTAGACCGCCATCAAACATCGGCTTCTTTTATCGTCGCCATGTTCATGTGGCTAAATTTAAACGGATGCTTTAAATCACAGGAGATGAATAGGTTTGATGAAAGCAACTGGTGAAGATACTTTTTTTTTTTAAAACAGAGGAGGAGAAAGACAGAGGAAAGACAGGACACAGAGTTAGACACGATAGAATGGCAATAAGTCAGAGCAACAGTAAGGGAATGAGAATATGTTACCGAAATCTACAACCGCATTACGTAGCAATTTCACAGAATTTCTAGATTTGCACTGTCTGCGCAATGGTCTGTGTTTGTTGTGTTGAAAAAGAGTCTTAGAGGAGATGATAAAGATGATGCAGAAGAAAAAGATGTATATTTTGGGGACCAAGACAACGGTGTTGGGGGGTGGATGGGGAGAATGTAGAGAGGCTTACTACTGTATGTACCATTACAGGGGGGTGTAGAATGGAGAAAAAAACCTATGTGCTAAAAATGAAACTTCACTTTGAGAAAACACTCTGGGAGTCTGTGTTGTTTTTGTCACCTCTGTTGCCTCTGCACTTGGATATAACTCCAGTTTCTCTCACTGATACTTGATCTACAGTACAGTCATGGTGTGCGTAAATTAAAGCTGCACTAAGCAATGTTTTTATTTCAACGGCTGGTCAAAGGACTTTTTGTAATGCCCTTTGTCACTTGTCATGAAGAGCTGCAGAGAACTGGCATTCTGCAGTTCCTTTTATTGATACAGAGCTATTTAGCCTCTTGTTGCTTCTTGTTTTGGTTTTCTGGCCCACAAAGTGCACTGTTATCCAGCCTCATTTCTGTCACAGCCAGGCAGCTTTTGTTAGCAAAAGAAGCTCTGATAAGCCTATTGTACACTGCCTGCCCAGCAGCAATCCACAAGACGGGCAAAGTTGGACACTAGCTGGTGATCCCAAGTAAATCATTTGTCAGCTTAGGAGCCTGATACCCAAACACAGCTAAAATAAGCATGAGTGTTGGATTTACAGTTGTCAGGGGGCCAGAAACAGGACATCCATTTCTGCTGGATGTGTAAATATTCAACCCTTTGTTAGCATATTATCAATATCAACATCATATGGTGGGCCACTCAGTGATGCAATGGGGTAGCACTGTCACCTTATAACAAGAAAATTGCGCCTTGTGGCCGACTGGTGCCTTTCTATGTGGAGTTTGCATGTTCATCATCGGATACACAGCAAGGATTCAGGTAATTTAATGTAGTGATGCTACACACTCCGATGCAGCAGGTGGCAGTATGCACCTTAATCATTGGTTTGTGGAGAATAAGGAGGAAGAAAAGAAGAAAATCACAAACAGAAATACTCCAGCTTTTGTACTACTTCTGTCTGACTGTGTGTTTGTGGAACCAGTGCTTGGATGCATTTTGTTCATTGGAATTAAAGTCCAGCTTTGACCACTTGGATACACATTTGGCTACAAAAAACAGAGAAAGGTAGGGAGCCACTGCTCTATTGTGTGTGTTATATTGCAAAAATGATAAACAGCTAAAGACCCTAAAATACCTCAAATAGCTGAGATTGTGAGACAGAGTTTTCTTTTGGTGTGTTTAGGTGAAGACCACGGTACAGCCATGAAAATAAGGATGTGTCCTATGGGTGGGACAGTTCTGGGTAACTCCTACACATGGGTAAGTACTGCTATAGTTTTTGTTTTTCTTTTTTTTATTTCAGTTCATTCCCATATGGTGTCAAATCAATTAGCAACAAGTGAAACTTGCTTCAGCTGTGTCATCACAATCTCAGTTAACATCAGAATATTTCACTGCGTTATGACGCAACAGTGAATGACAAACAATGGTGCCTTGGTTGGTAACAAAATATGCCCAAAAATCTAAAACAGGACAGTTTCCAAAGGGGTTAGCTGTGATGTTAAATAGCCCACAGGTGAGAATTAGGCTAAAACACGCAAGAATAGTGGTTTGGTATGAAACCTTAAGAACAAAAGTGTCCATGTAACATCAGAAGAGACAATTACACTAATGAGTATCTGACTTTTAACGGTTTTAGTCGATGTAATGTTTATCTAACGTGGTTATGGTTTCAAAGGTTTTAAATTGTCCAGTTAGGCTATAAAGCTCTTTACTTGGTATTCGTGCTACCAGTTTGTCAGAACTGAACCTCCTCACGTCACTGAGACCAAAGTTGGATAAAGAACTGCACACACACTTCCTCACACACACTCGTACATAGAGATACAGGCTGAGGTTAAAAAAACAGACAAACATCAGTTTTTTCCAGGGAGTCTCCATTATTTCTGGCTTGGGGTCTCTAATGGTATTTCATTGTAATTGCTATGATGTCAGAGTGTCCGTTCGCCCTAACGTCCTTCTAAAAACAACAACAAGGACAGATCGGTTCCATTCACTGGTTGTAACAGAGAGACACAGGACTCCAGCAACTCAAACCTCTACAAGATCTTCAGCTGAAAAGGTGAGGTGGAATTTTTTTAAACATCTGTTCAATAATTTAGAAGTATTATAATTTTACTAAAGAAACTTTTAATTGCTATTAAGGTATACATAATCGTGTTGGTAGTTTATTTTACACCACAGTTAGTGTCATTTCATAGCCTGGAGTCATTGTACTGCAGTCAGAATTGAGATAAATCCACTTATTTCAGCATAGTATAAGTGGATTGCTTGAGTAATCCAGTGCAGAATAATGAAACTGCCATTTCCGTTAGAGAAATTACTGATTTTGATGCAAGTATGATAAGTGAATTTATATCGCTCCAATATCAGATTGTCATTTGAAAGGATTTAGGATATTTATTTATACATTTATTTAGTTTTTGCTTTGGAAGTATATATTTTTACTCTATTAAACTGCCAAATAAAATATTTTTATAGTGGTGCTACTGGCTGCAGTAGCTATAAAAGACACTGGAGAGAGTGATGCTGAATATCACACAATATTGTAGTTACTCCTCCTATAGATGTAAAATATTGGCATTTGGTTATTGAGTTACTTTAAGACCCAGTAACTCACTGGTGATAACTAACTGGTTTTACTCAGTAAGCTATTTGTTTCTTTCCTTAATGGTAAACTGTATCACCTCCAGGCAGGTCATTTCTAGCTGTTAGATAAAGGACAAAAAAACTTCAATATTAATATTCTCCTAACAAAGTTACTCAACTTAACCATCTACCTTTATTATTTCATCATACACAGCATGCATGTCCACTCTCTGGCCCTGTCTTTTCTCCTCCTCCTGGTTGCTGGGGCAGCTGTGGTGTGTGTTACCATGACGCCTGCACTCCACAGTTTCCGAGGCTGCACTGTGCGAGAGTTCACCTTTGTGGCCCAGAAGCCGGGCTGCAAGGGACTGCGTATCACCACAGAAGCCTGCTGGGGGCGCTGCCACACCTGGGAGGTAACATTCATACACAGACTCACAATGTCAAAGCGGCAGAACTTCAGTGCCTGTAAGCTTCCATAATACTGGCATTGTGAAACATCAAATGAATGAACAATGACCCAGGGCTCAGCCCAAACCATAAGAAAGCCAGTGACTCATTCTCAGCTTTGACCATATGTCATTGTCATAAGAAATAATATTTTAATTTTATTGTATTTACTCAGGAGTGTAGCTCAGCCATAGACTTTGTGTATTGACCCCAGAAATATCAGAAACTCTGTTGCATACTCTCACAATAAGTTTTTGTTAGTAAACGTAAAATAAGATACAGTGAAATGTCAACCAATGTTCCATCTGTGTGTGTGACCCCTGCAGAAACCAGTGCCAGATGGCCCCTACATCCAGCGACATCACCATGTGTGCACCTACAACCACACCCGCTACATGACTGCCCGGCTGCCGGGCTGCCAGCCCGACATCTCCCCCCTCTACCACTATCCCGTGGCTCTGCACTGCCACTGCGCTGTCTGCTCCACACAGGATACCGAGTGTGAAACCTTCTGAGGGTGCACAACACCACTTTCAGCACACAGTATTGCCAAGTCCTACAGATATGAACAATACTGTTAAAAAGTATGAAATCAAGACATCTGAGTAAGTGCCACACTTTGTTGCACTTCTAGCAAAAAAATGATAGCAAGAGATTAACAGCAGAAAATCCCTGATACTTGACATCTAGTAACCTAAAATATGACGACTGAAGACTGTGTGGATGTATGTGTGTGTAAGAAATGAGAAATAAATAAACAGAGCAAGTCATACATTTCAGAATAAGAATTTTGTGATTCTTTGTCATGATGTTCAGTACAACACAGATAAAGTTATACCAGCACACAGTCTCCAAAGGGTTAATCTCGCCATGCTGTTGTCTATCAGATGTTGATTCTCTCACACACACACACAGCTTCATTGATTTGTAGTAGACTGTAAAAATGTAATAACTGTGACATAATGCTACTCAAAAGTCCCTCACCAACAATATAGATCAGTCACCTTGTGGGGATTCGCCTCCATTTTGGAGTCAAAGTTCAAGTCCATACAATGTAAATGACTGTAGAGTCAAGGTTATGATATGTCAAGAGGGAATCAATGTACCCCGATGCATTGTCCTCTTAAATGATGGAAACAAGGTTGTGTGTGTCCACATAAACCACTTTACAGTTGGGGAATAGAAATTTATTGAACTACAGTCTCATCACAAACTATATAGTGCTTTCTTTGACAAAATCCTTGGATTCTTTAATAGATATTATTTACAAAATGTCTTTTATTTCAAAGTCATAAATAGGTCTTGTACATTCTTTAGTGTCTCGTCTTGGTTTACTGGTTATTGCAATGAATGAAGCCTATTTAGGTTGATTCCAAATGCTGACAATATTTTGACTTTTTTTGTCAATTGAGAGATGAAATGTCTTAAATACAATATAATGGTAATTTGGCATATTTCATGAAAGTGAGGTGAAATTTGAGCTTGACTTTAATCCTGGTTTCTCTGTCTACTTGCACTTCCTGTTTCTCACTAAACTTGATTTTATTTTAGCTGCTTACAAAGTCATGTTTGCCAAGTCTCAAAGCAAAAATATCAAAAGGTTCAGTTTGTGTGACAAAATGATTTATGCTGCCTTTAACACAAATGTGTTAAATCAAGTTTTGTTGATTTTTACACAAGCACAGACATTTATGCGCATACAAAAGTACTGGGCAACAGATCCAGTGCAGGTCTTAGTCTGCTTTAATGATTTTCACTTAGTTGAACATTTCTGGGCCTCATGGTCTGTTACTTCTACAGAGAGCTTCCCAGTTTTGCTATTTTTGTCAACCTTACCATCATTCAAATGGAGAAAACCCAGGTTTTGACAGTAACATGGTTAAAAGACAGTTTTTAAATACTGTAAGTTAAAATGGATTTTCTTCGTTCATAAATCAACAGAGATAGAAAAAAGGATAGTTTCTGGTGCATTACTCAACTTCTGCTTAACTGACTAAACTGGAATTTGATTCTGGTCCCTTGAACACATCGTTTGCAGCATGCTGTCAGGATGTGTTAGTAGCGGGACATGCGGCACATGTCACAGCGACACGCCTCGGCTGTCAGGAGCTCTATTTCGTCATGGTGACGACCTTGAGGGCAGTCCAGGCGCACTTTGACCTGAGGGAAGACAAACCACATGATATGAACGATTGTGAAAGCCGAATGTTAAACACATGATACAGTAGCTCCTAACACCTCCCTGATCTCCCTCTTCTCACCTTGGTATCCTTGCTGATGGTGCAGCACCGTGAAGCAGAGGTGATGTTGTGGGTGAAGTTGGAGGCCAACAGCACTGAGTATCTGGATGGGAAGGCACTTGACTCACAGTAGCCTACGCAGGCATGGACCAGTTGGGTGCCTTTACACGTGCCACGACGGTCACTGCGGATGGTCACGTTGAAGGCTAGAGGTGGAGGAGGGAGAGCATGTCATTGTGTGGAATGCAGTGTTCAAAGGTGTATTAACTAAGGTTTTACACCTTAATATCACAATTGGCCCCACCAGCCACTTAGCAAAGGCTATAAGTAATGTTTTTTGGACAGTGAGTAGTCAGTTTGACTGGACAGACCCAAAACGAGGCTGAAAACATGCTTGGTAGAGCAACTTTAATTGAAAATCAGAATATGATTGTTAAAATTACTCTGATATTTAGCTGTAAACGTCAGACACTTAAGATTGATAGTCAAGGTTATTGGTCAAGTAGGGTAAATTTTGAAACATTTGTTTTTAAAACCGCATTTCCCAGAAACCCTGCTGTTTCTTGCCATATTTTGTGTCCACCGTGAGTAGGAGTGTGAGTTTTTGGAGATATTAAAATGTAAAACTCACGATATAGGTGACAGCCCGGGGTGAGGCCATCATAGCTCCAACCAGGAGGAAAGAAGAGCAGCAGGAGTGACATCGCTGGTAGTGCCAGCAGGCAGAGATGTGAGGTGAAGCACGGTGACATCAGGACGGCAACCTGGAGGGTCCAAACAGAGCACCATAGTTTGTAAGACATCACTGGAAGATGCCAGAAAATCTCACAGAAAAGCTTTTAAGCAAGATTAATTCCAACTTTCAAAAAAAATCAAAATGGTGGCCTTTTGCTGCTACTCTTACCCCTCCAATGAAAACATCACCCTGAGCCAAAGGTGATTTCCCATCATCCACATCTGCCTGTGTGTCACTCAGTTGAGTAACAACTAAGGTGAATTAAATCAAGACACTATCTCTTCAATCCTGCTGACATGAGCTAACTCACCCTGACTCGTACATGCATCTGCACACATGACAGCAGTCTCATATATTTATATGTCTTTTGTTAAAATACAGAAAAGGTGAATGATATTCTGTGCATTTGTTTTCCACATTAATCCGCGTAAGCCTGAACACGTGCACACATGCATGTATAATATAAAGTGAATGTCCATGACTGCAATACTTGTGTCCCCCTCTCACACACACTCCAGCACTTGTGTAAACAATAATGTCATGCTTTCCTGGGAATTTGGTGATCCTGCCCCTTGTCCTCTAAAATGGCACCTCTTTCTAGCTTGATTAGCCTCTGATGGGAGCACTGGGACTCACCACCATTGTAATGATGGGAGAGGGGCCCTGGGGATGCCATTAATGCTGCTGGTATGAACAAATTAATGGGTCAGGATTGTGTGTGTGTGTGAAGTTATTAACCCCGTGTCTGCTGGTCAGGCAGGGGAGCCGACCGGCTTTGTCCTCTTATGTGGGGTTTCCACATCTTAAAAGTCAGGCACTTTTGCTAAAAAAAAACCAAGTATGAACATTACTTTTAATTCCTAAGTTTATATATTTGGAAAGTGACCGCTGAAAATATTATGTAATGCACCCAAATTATTCTTTATTCTGCTACATTTAACTTAGGTGTGAACACTTCAGGTCTGTTGTACTGACCTGGAAGTTGCCAGCAGGCCATTTTATTTTATAGAATACTTGTACAATAATGAATCTGCCTTTTTGCATGTTCAAGAACCTGGAACCTGTAATTCTGCTTAATATTAAATATTGCGTGTACAGTGTCATTTTTAACACTCTTTGTCTATTATATATGTTAAGATTAAACATATACAGCTTTACCGACAGAGAAAACTACAGAGACTCAGAATACGTACAGTTTGTCGTGCCAGATTTTTTTTAAATCATATTTTGATATAGTATTTAGGAGTAAATCAGACTAATAAAGCTTCATTTTACTAAAGATATAAGCTTTCAGCTGAGTTGGGAAGCATTTTAAAATACCCTGCCAGAAAATTAAAAAACTTTCTTTACACACTGAAACATTTTATTATGATCACTCTATTGTTGTACCAGATAATAAAGCTGCGTGCAAAACTCTGTAGACTTAGAATGCACAGAAATATTGGGAAGGCAGAGGAGTTCAAACTTGTATTTTCCCCAAAATTATATTTCAACTTAATCTGACTTGTACAAATTTTTAAATGCAAAGAAGGACAGACAAGACTGAGGATTTTAAGGTCTTGTCCACCATCATGTAGAAAAATGCACTAACTTCGGGTGTAAAATTGAGCTGGGTCTTACCTGAAGCTGTAGAGCAGAGAATACAGGGCAGGTGTGTCGACTGACAGATGTGTGTGTGTCTAATCTGAGCCTCATGCAGGGATATAAGTAACAGGTAAGAGCGAAGGCACGCCCACGGTTAGAGAGCTGAGTCTGAATCTTTTATTCTACAAGTCCCTTGTTATCTTTCTTGTCCGCTCCTTCTACCTGCCCAGCAAAGTGTTAAATTCTCTACAAATGACCTCAAGCTTCTTTCTTAAATGTCGTTCTCATGGAGTGTGTGGACGTCTGTGTCCCTCCACCCTCCCCATCCTCATACTGTTTTAAACCTTTAGGGGGACCACTGCTGTGACACAGAGGAAAACTAAACAGGTTTTCCATCAATACACTGCTACAGTGGTCAGAACACACACTGCTTTACCTCACACAAATACACATGGAGACGCACACGCATAATCGCATAAAAGCACACATGTATGCATCCGTGTGCGCAAAGTCACAAAATAATTCTAATAGTTTAGGCCTCAGCTGCCAGTCGACAACATTACAAGTGAGACTACACACACACACACACAGTGTCTGGGTTTTCCATTTGTGGGTGCAGGAGGAAGGGCAAGGCATGTTCAGAAGATATTGTGGGTTTGGGTCGGCTCTGTGTGTGTGGCACATTGTGGGCATATTAGGGTAACGCCTGGCTCTGCTTCTCTTCTCCTTTGTTTTAACAACCACCCTCTTCAAATTATTTTTTTTGCTGTAGTATCTGGAAGCTTCGGTGACATGTAACAAAAGTCACAAACTGTCACATCAGACCATTGATATTTAATGCTAAAGACCCAATATAGGTTTCCTTTGTTCTCTTTTGGTGGTTCTCTGCTGAAACTGTGTTTCATCTTGAAGGGACAAGAGTCTTACTAGCTGGATCAGTGGCTCAGTAATCTGAGGGGAGGGTAAGCTGTTGTAGTGCCATGGTGAATAAATAACTAGATTTGAAGAGTCGATCAGCTGATGATATAAGGCTCATGCTAGCATTTTTAGTCACAGGATTTGTATGATTGCAGGTGATGTTAGAACAGGTTGCAGTGTTCGCTGTGTTATTAATGCAGCACAGATGCTGGATGGGCCAGTGATGCACTCTCATTCTCACACACACACACACACACACTCACACACACACTAAGAAAAACACTGAGATCACCTTATGGCCCATCAACCCCAAACGTTCCCAGTCCACCTTTGTCAATGGAAAACATGTGACATCATCACTTGAACCTCCCACCTACACATACACACACAAACAGACCAAACTGTTAGTGTGTTGATTGTGAGTTGTGCACATGGTCACAGGAGGAGGGAGTCATATGAATGAACCTGGTTCCGTTGGAGACTCTCACACACACATTACTCCAGTGTGACTCAGCGAGGTGAATGATGTTTATCGCTCAGCGGCCCCATTGTGCTCGGCTGCCATGGAAACCATGGCGGCTTGAACCACTATAGTATCATTAATATGTCCACTTCCACTTTTGCCCTATTATTTTAATCTCGGTGTGTGAATAAAAGTAGATGATGTATGAGTGTGCCTTAGAGATGGCTCGATTATGTGCGACGATTATGTTAGTGCTGTGTGTGTGTGTATCACTATGTCTAACAGGATAGAGTATGTGTCAAAGTGTGTAAGTAAATGTGAGTGTAAGATTAATTATGTGTGTTATTTTGGGTTCTATGACAATATAAGGAGAGGATTAGACAAAGTTTTCCTGTTTCTAAGATGATGTTTTAGTCCAGTTCACCCATATAAACACACACACACTGAGGAGTGGAAGAAGGAGCCAGCATTGTGTACAGCCAGAATAATTACTGGGGTGGCTAAGGAGGCACAGCGGGTCGTGTCCTAACTGGTGGGATGGTGGTTTGATCCCCGGCTTCTCCAGGCCACATATCAAAGGTGACACAGAAACGGTTTCACTCTAACACAAAAATGTTTCGCTGTTTTGGCTTTTTGTTTAGATGGCAATGGAGTTTCCGGGATATGAAAATGCAAAGGTTTGAAATTAAATTCCAGAGTGGAAAAGTTTTGTAACACCATCACAGTGTAACAGTATGCATGCAAGGTTTGTGCACAGGCATGTGATGTCTCCTCACAAAATGACACTGCCAACTACTGGCCTGGCAGGCGCACTACATCGTTTTTCTGGAGCTGTGTAAACACAGATTGCTTTAAAAGCGTTGTCGCCAAAGAAGCCAAAGAAAAAACTTTTCCGTTTTCATTGGACCGTTGTTGTATAACCGTTGCCAAAGTGTCCTCTGGCAAAACACTGAACTCTAAATTGCTCCTGGTGGCCATCCTTTCCCATCACTGTGTGAGTGGTTGTATGGTGGCTTGTTGCATCAGTTCTAAAGTATAGGTCCCTTTACCATGAGGTCTTGGACTGTGTTATTGTGTGCTCATTGGATAGTCTGTGCACTGAGGAAAGACTTGACTGTACCTTTTACATAATAATTTGATAAACTGCTTTAAAAATAATTTAGTAACATCATTAGAGCAGAAACAAGTGCAGAGTGATTATACTACTAGTGCAGAAATGGTCAGAGAAGCAAGGAGTCACAATAAGGAAGTGAGGCAAAGTATTTGCACAAATTCAGTCCTTTTAATACAATAGACAACTAATAAACTACAGTATATGACTTCCTGTCAGTGCCAGCATATTAAAGGTTATAAACCCAGTTCAGTGTAATAAACAATACACTACACTACATTCTGGTGAACAAAAGGTATCAAATAAACTGTAGCAATAGTTAACATTTTATAACTAATCAATACAATACAAAATCTAACATGAACAGTAAGAGAACAATCTCTGGTAAACAGAAAACTATTGACACTAACAGTAGAAACAAGTAGTCAATGGAAGATGAAGGAAACTAACAAATCTACTGAATTTTGTTCATGAAGAAATCAAAACATTTTTGTGCTCGGAGTAGAATAAACCCCAGTGAGGCTCCACTGCTGGAACCAGTAAGACCCACCCGTTTCTCAGTGGTCTCGGAAGAACAGGGAGAAAGGGAAGATATGGCTGCAGAGGGAGGGAGAGAAAGACTTTTAAAGCCCGTCCTAGTCAACACGCATGGTTAATGTAACGTTAGGCTCCTTAGTCTGAACCCGTAAGGCTTCTCCTACTGTACTTCACTGTTACTGTAAAGATTACATTAGTAAGATTGTTTGGCAGGATTCTTCAATGTGGATTTACATTTATCAGCCTTTTTTTTGCCTAAGGACATCTAGGATTTCCGCTTATCTCAGACACTCCGCAGGATCATGTCTGTGTGTGTAATAGCTGGATTTCCAAAATTCATTTTAATCTTTGACAACTTTTTTTCATGCTGATCTGCAGCACTCATCCACCTTTGTTTCTGTTGTGGGTGTAAAAGTCACTCAGCTCTACAAAGAAAAAAATTAATTACATGACTCATGTAGTTTCAAATAGTTCCAAACAGCTGATTCAGATCCATTGTTTTCTGTAGGGAACAGTGGGATTTATCAATAAATTACTAACATTACTTATAACTTGCACAGCCTTATTAATGAAATCTCTCTACTGTTGTTGTAGATAGCTCAGCTAATACAGCTAATTAGCTACAGTAGGTACCTTAGGTAATCTATTAAAGTGACAATATTTGAGAGGGATGATCACAAAGATTGTAAAACGTGTTTTGACACAATGCTAACTTAAAATGTCACAAGTATAATTAGGCTACTAATTTCAACTTCTTATTTTGGAAGATAGCAGCCAAGTCATTGGAACTCTATGGTGCTGCTCCTAATGTCTGGAACAATTTGATGTTCCCATAATCCACCATTACTGTAAGAGTATAGCGTCAATAGAGATGTTGCCACTCTCCTTCTGCTCGAGTTGAAGGTGAACCTGTTCACTGTGCTGTTATACCAACCTGGCCAGTCGAGTCAGAATCCCTGGCCTCACAGGTATCCCAGGGGCCGAGTCTACATCTTCTCCTTCCTCACCACCCTCCTCTTCTTCTTCTCCATCCCATGTTGTGCCAGGGTGCACTTTACCTGGACTCTCACTGTCTCTGACACCTGAATGCAGATTGGGTTTGTTAAACCTGTGGATCCTTTTCTGTGGGAGAGGATTAGAAGAAATTAAAATCATAGTGAAACGACTGCAGAATATAAACTTTTTTCCAATAACAGATTTTATTGAACTGACTGTTTGCTAACCCCTCACAACAAATAGCAATTGTTCAATCTCTGCAGCTGTAACTACTGTAGCTTTGGGTTTCTCCACATATTGAAGCAGCGTTCATGGGGTTGTATGAGAGTGACATAAGTCTGGGGAATTGTGTCGGTTTTGTCTTTCTAAAACCAAAAGGACAGCAGGGTAAATTAAATTAATTAAACAATATATTAAATCTTATGTTAGCATGCTTAGCTAACTAGCTCACTGCGTACAGTATGTTAAAAGCAAAGAGTTAGTATTTGATTACTTAACTACATCAGTATAATTATTTGTCTGAAGTTAAAACATTATTGTGAGTGGTAAATCTGCTGCTGTTATGACTGTAAATTGGAATAAATTTATAAAAATGTATACTATTCTTCACTTGTGCAAGATTAAGATACCTTAAAGATCACTGTGATGTCATCACAGTGTTCAGATTTAATCCTTGTTAAAGCTTTGTAGACTTGCACTGCACTTCCTTCTCAGTGTTAAGAAAATAAATAACTCAATGGGCGACATAATTAGTTGAAATCATTTTTTCCACTTGAAACTAATGTGGGAGGGAAAGCAAAGCAAGACATGGAAGAAGTGTGGAAAAAAGAGTGGACGAGTGTGAAGATGAGGTGAGATCAGATAAGATCAAGAGGCATGGATGAGATGGGAGCGATTGGAGGGTAATTTTGGGACTTTGTTGCTAATCAAACTGAAGCACATCACCAGAAACACACACACTCTAACATGCACAGGGTTACACAGAAACCTGTACACCCTGTGTCTAATGTAATGCTATTATTAACCTTAATCACACTTGTTATCCTACCTGTCTGCGCTAATGTTAGCCTGGGGCTGCCATACAGCCAGAGATGCTACAAGTGAGTGTGTTCATGTACTGTATGTACTAAAGAGGAAATGAAATGGTGTTGTAAGACTAAAACTGGAAGATGAATTGTTGGATTCAATTA